AAGAAAGACAAAACTAACTAGAAACTCGAATAAAACTTAACTCGATATTTTTGTATTCTCTATTGTATTGTACTCTTTTAATCAAGCAAAGATAGGTTGACTTATCGCTTAAAGAAAAGAGAAGTTCAATCTGCTAGTTTCAACTTCTGTCATTCATTAACCGCTCGTTTGTCAACAATCGTTATTCTTTTCTAGATGTGCTTGTAAAATAATTAATCAAATGCAGAGTTTTAATTTTCGCCGACTTGTTTCGTATTATGTAAAACACGAGGGTGTGGGTGTGGGTGTGGAATCATCCCTGGTTCACTCACACTCACACCCACCCTCAAGATGGTTATTTTCTTAGGCTAATCATTTCTTAACAGAAAACCAGAACACAACGTTTTGAAAAACTTTTGATGAAGTAGTCATTTTTATATGAAAAAAACCATTTCCCGTATATAAATCTACTGATGCTTTCTCAAAATTCTTCATTTTGATATTTGTAATTTATGTCACAATATTAGTAATATGGATATAATATTTTTTTTTCATTTTTTAATATCAATTTTATCAATAACAATACCAACCAATATCCGATGATATTAGTCTTGATAGTAATGTTCTTATTACATTTTTAGAATTATTACAACTGAAAATTTCAAATTTTCATCTTCTATCTTGCATACAGTAAAAGCTTCTCAAGGCGATTATATGAAATATGATCGACTCTCGTAAAAATGAGGCATAGAATAACAGAACTGATTCAAAACGTGCAATCAATAGTTTACATTGAGTGAAAGAGGCTAATCAACATGGAAATGATGCTGCATGTGAAGTTATGTCACATAAGGATCAATTGTAATAAAATCTGGATGGAAAGATTTTGAAAGAGTACATTCAAAATTTCTAATATCTATTTTATTATTCGTCAATATTCCACAACAGAAGAAACAGATTTTTCAGTTTTATTATCTATTTTTCAAATAGTCAATTGAAAAAAGTATATTTATTCAAAATCAATATATACAATAAAAAATAAATTTTACCACCATAAATACAATTTTCAATTAATAACTTTTAGAATATAATCACAAAGTTTTTTCGATCTAATTAAATTTATCAATATTATCATCAGATCACTACGTTGTTTTGAAATCCATGATGAAAATAAATAGCGAGTATCGTTATTAGGTTTTGACAATAAAAAATGAGCTATAGATTCTAAATCTTGTTTGAATAAGGTAATAGTAAGTTTTTCCATTCGACGAAAAACAGCAGTTAATAATTGTATTTTTTCTAATGTGATTTCTTTATGAATTGTTACTTTTGTTATAATATTTGTCTCGGACACTAATTGAGTTAATGGATTTTGTTGAATTAAATTCGAATTATTTCGATGAAGTATTATTATTGAATCAAGTTTCAATGTATGAACATTCGATGTAAATTGTAAAAGTTCAATTAATTGTTCAAAAGAAAAATGATGACATTCAATGGATAATTTAGTAATTTTTTTCAATGGAAAAATGTGATTTGAATCAAGTATAATGAAATCACGTGGTACTTCAAAATCGTCACAAAATGTAAGTTTAGTCGCATTTGGAAATTTATCATTAGATTGTTTTACAATATTTAAAATTTGAATTTGACGAAAACAACTAATCATTAAAATTTCAAACTGAGTAAAAGGAACACCATTTAATTTAAGAGAAACATTTATTAAATAATTTTAGTTTATTAAATCTTTTTCTATTCGATTATGTTTAGATTTCGTTAGATTACCAATGGATAAACGACGTAGCTGTCGAACATAGGATAATATAATAATAAGTTGATTAATCGAAATTTCATTGTTAATAATAAGATATTCAATAGTACTAAATTCATTTGTAGCAACAAGTAATGATTTTAGACATTGTAATGATTCAATTAATATTTGACAATATTTTAATTTAGATAAACGAAATAATTTATAAAAAATATTATTTTTATTGACAAGCTTATTGATCGATATTATAGTCAAAGAAGATAAAATAGGTAAAAAAGATAAATAATTTACAATTGGTTCTATATGATTAGCGTCCATCTTATTTAAAATAAGTCTTGGAAGTTTAGTTAAACATTTCATTATTGGAAATAGTAACAAACATGGATCAATACATGGATTCGCTAGTCGAAATAATTCAATTCGCTTAGTATATAGAAGGTTCAAGAATATATGTTAAATAATGTTGAGATCTTGATTTTGATATTTCACAAATATTAATTTTAATTGGCAAATTCGAATCATGAGAAAGATTTTGAAAACGATTATTGAGGTAATAAAAGCTTGGAATGCATGATAATCAATGAGATAATCAAATAGTTCATAAATAAGTTCATTTGAAAGATCTTCAAAAGTAGTAATAGATTCTTTTGATGAACTTAAAAAAGAAATCTTTTTGTGAACTAACGATTTTGTTTCAATTTTTGTTACTACAAAAATAAAATAGAATTATATAAAAAAAATAAAAGATAGTTTTTACTGTTTTGTCTTTGTTTTTTGTTATTATTATCATAATCATTAATAGTATTTTTTCGTTTCATCTAAAACTTGATTTAACAAATAAAAAGATTAGTGATAATTTGTAGTAGTGAAAAAAAGAAATGCATGTGCTGCACATCATAGAAGACAATATTTCTTTCGACATACAAATGTATAGAACGCGCAAGAAAATAAAGTATCAATTGCGTGAATTATCTTGAACGATAAATATTTGACCGAAGTTAACTAAACACATCTATTTCTATCTCGTCTTTTGACGCAATACATATGTAGATAAATTATATTTTGTGCTTTTCTTTTAAATTTCAAATAATCATTATCAATAAATAAATGATTTTAATTATTCAATTATAATGTTGTTTGACAAAATCATATATTTTTATCAAAGAAGATTTATAGTTTAAAATTACATTCAAAAAAGTCAATATCAACAATTAAATAAAGGCGAAGCGAAAAAAATTAATGGAACTTTTTTCAAATAGTTGTGGACATCTTGAGGGTGTGGGTGTGGGTGTATGGCTAATCCTAAACATGCACT